TTTTAGTACATTTTCCAGTAGAAGTAAAGTTGAGGAAAAAAATGGCAAATTGAACGTTCCAACATTTTCTCAATTATACAACTGAGAAGCACGGCAGAAGATATAGTAACAGATTTCATATTATAGATGAAACTTTTAAGCACTGTATTTTAAGATATTTCCCATTTGGTCTAACATTCTTTTTAAACTTTTGGCTAACCTTGTTTGGCTTTGCATTGGATTGAGAATTTCTAATTTGCTTTCATAAATATGTATTTTTAAATTCACTATTGATTAACCATGGTCATCTGTGGGGTTAAGGGGAAGAGGGAACCCCACAAAACATCACAGGTTCGGTAGGCGCAATTGTACAGCGATAATAAGTAGAGATTATAGTAAAGTCATAGAGAGCATGAGAGTTAAAGGATAGAGTCAAGTAATGGAGTCAGACGCAATTCATGGTAGCATAGCTCACCTCAGCCCGGCTTGATGGTCCTCGTGGAGGGGGCTTAGCCGTCAGAGAAGAAGCCGCTGCTTCGTCCTCCTTAGTCACCTTCTCCAGCCACCCTCTCGAGAACCAGGGAGCCTCCTTATTTATTGCTAACCACGCATCATATTTGATTACAGAGTCATACATCACAGAAAGGGGCAATACAATTCATTCTAGAACAAGTTTGATCACTGTAATGTCTCACATAATAAAACAGACAATTACTATTCTGGGAGGCATGCAAGTTCCCTGATAGCGGACAATAACCTGAGTCACCAGGAGGGGTATTAACATAGGCAATACAATCAATAGGAGAGGAATCACCCAGGGGTGTGCCCACATTTGTTGTGGGAATAACAATGGTGTTTGCTTTATCTAGATAGCCGATAATGGCTATCTAACCTTGGTCATCCTTGGGCTGCTTTGCCCTCTCTGGTATCTCCTGCAAGTGAACAGACCACCATTATCCTTATCAGAAGGGTGTGGGTCTTATTTAGGGTGAGTCATGTAGCCATTTACTATAGCCTCCCAAGCAATGATACGATGTGTGGGTCTAATGCTTATACAGTGAACCCTCGCCACTTCGCGCTTCGACTCCCGCGGCTTCACTCTATCGCGGTTTTTGCGTAACAGCGCATGCTCTGTCATTACTGCCACTGATTGGCTCATACTGTACACGCTTGATGCCATAAATAATATAATAAATAATAAATGATAATTGTAACGTCCAAAATGTTTTACTGCATTTTCCCTTTTTCGTTTAATAAATTGGGTAATACGAGTGTAATGGTGACTAAAGGGTGTTTTTTCATGCCCTCTATGCTCTAACTACGAAAATATTTGATTTACAAATAAGGAATCCTACTTCGCGGAATTTCATTTATCACGGTAGGGTCTAAAACCGATTAACCGCGATAAACGAGGGTTCACTGTAATCCATTTATCACTCCCTCATTTGGAGTTCATCAAAGGAGGGTCAGCTAGGGTCAGGTTTTCATTTGGGGGGAGTGTGAGAGAGGACCAAATAGTATTATCCCACAGTCACCATAATCTAATAGACACTTCTACAATGGTGTTCAGTGAATTTCTATGGAAATTCATGATGAGGGTTGGCTTCTCTCTCGCTCTCGCTCTACCTCTCTCTGAGGTGATTGCAAGAGGTAGGTACACTGGGGAAGGGCAACCTGCCCTTGGAAAAAAATTCTTAACATTCCTTGTATGGCCCCCCAATAAGAGAATCTGCCCCATGATGTTGATAATCATATGATAAAGATCAAAGTTCTTTTCTGCCTTTGGTGATCCAGGCCTCCTGCCATAGGACACCTGGATATTAGATTTTGTCTTTTTGAGGTTTGCAACTTTCTTCATAGGTCCCATCAGAAGGACTTGATTTGGAAATACCATTAATTAAACTGGGTTTTATCTTAAACACATGTTGGCCAATTAAAGGAAGTGAAATACTTTTTTGTACAGTACTTGAAGCTGAAATGCCTAGTATGAAAAGAAGCAGAGGACTACTATCCCAAGGTTATTGGACTTGGGTTCAAATCTCTTTGCTTTGAGGTTACTCAATAATTGGCAGCTTGAAACTATCATATGGTTGCTATTTTCATTGTTTTTTGTGACATTCTATGGTTCTGCAGACAAATAGTTTTGCCCTAGTGAATGGGTATTTTTGAAATTATTGCCTTGTATCTAACCCTTAGTTTTCTTAAGCAGTGTTCTGCACTTAAGTTTTTAATCTGTATAAGTGAATGTTCCACATATTTTAATCTAAAAGACTTTTATTTATTTATTATTATTATTTTTAATCATTTTATTAGGGGCTCATACAACTCTTATCACAATCCATACACACATCAATTGTGAAAAGCGCATTTG